TCAACCGGTGGCAGATTGTATTGTATACTATTATGTTTATTTTGCAATAAAACAGTACCTATCGGTGTTTTACATAAAACATGAATCCACGTAAAAGGATAAACGCCTCATATGTTTGCACAACACTTCATATTTTAATGAGCTAATGGAGTTCGATTCTATGTAATGATAGTTGCATAGAATTTTTGGAATTAGAAATCTATTTAGTATTAACAGATTTAGTGCCAGTGAGAAATAATACATCTGAAACTTAGGCTTAGAATTCAGAAAGCTAGATACCAAGGAGCTATTGGGATTGGGCGACAAAAAGACGAGTGGGAAACGGAGAGGAGAAACACATTATTGTGCCTGAGGCGTGTATTTCCATGTCCGTCAAACATAATATTACATAATTCACGAAAATGTTATAAGAGTGTTCAATAAATACTGAGAGGCTGAAACACAATGTTATACTTTGTCAATGATTAACTAGAAGTGAACAAAATAACCCAAAACTATTTTAGTGTATGGTTCCACATGTAAAAAGATATTAAAGTGTGGATAAGTTGGCTTTTAGAAATACAGCATAGAATAGACGGCATTTGGAAATAAATAAGCAATTGGCTTGTATTTACATTGGAAGAAAATTAACTACAAAGATTTACAACTTTATTTTAAGCATAATATTGACAAATTAACTAAACTCTTAAATCTAAATCCTCATCTTTGGATTGTTATTTCTCTCTCTCAGATGATTCGTGAATATTATTATTGTCGATGACATTTTTATAAAACTGAAGATTGGGTATGTCTCTCCAAGTGTCTCCAAAATGCTTCCTAAGAAGTTTGACGTACTGGTTCAGCTCTAAAATACTTATATTTGACCTTTCGGAATTACTTCAGGGCAATGTTGTTCAGAGTTTTCCCTTTTTTAAGGATCGATTTGAATGATCCCAGATCGCTTCGATAACTTGCTCCACCTTGAATATCTATTGGTCCTCTTGGATTTTTTTTAATTAGAATAGGTTTGCATGGGGCAAACTTGAATTGCCATTGAACTTGTTACTTAATAACATTGGATATCTCTTTTTTCCAATCGGAAACTTCAACAGAAATTCCCAAGCGAAACAATGACCCAAATTCTGAAAATATATTTTCGTCTTCCTCTGGTTTTATAATAGTGTTCCATTTTTGTAACTTTTTCTATACCACCGAACAGTCGATCTGGGGGTATGTAGGAGTGTCCTGGCAAAGGAAATATTAGATGGAGTTGTTTAACATTTGATGGAGTTTTGGATTTTAGCCAACTGGAAAGCATCCCTACCCTGCCCACAATTTTTATTTTGGCCTCCACAATCATGTTCGTATTGCAGGGACGATGAAACACTGCTGACGCAATTTGGTTTGAGCTTTTGGCATATTCACTCTCCAGCCATGTATAGATAAAAACAGTATCTTTATTTTGAGACGCTCCAGAATGTCCATGGCATATTGTAAAGTTGTATCAGTAGAGTTGCCGACTATAATAAGCGGCTTGATCGGGTACTCGTGGTAAAACCATATGTTTCTGGCAATCAAACGAAAATTTAATTACGTTTTTTTATCCATTTTCAAGAATTCAAAAAATGACTTAGCCTTAAATTTAAGAACTCGATACTGAGCAATCAACGTACTTTTTTATTTGGACAACGAACTCTCATAATACATTCTTTAAGTTCTATGCACTTAGAGCAAGCATCAGTAGCCTGCATTCCAATTCCAAAACATACATTATAGTTTCTCACAAAAACTTTTCGAAAATAATGTTACTTAACATTCTAGCCTTGTTCACCTTTTTCGGCTTACATTCTCCACAATACTTTAATTGACAATTCACTTGGGAGGTATTGTCTTGATGATTTTCCTTGACAACAATACAAGTCAACTACTTTCAGTAAAGCCTTTGACAGCTTCCAATTTCTTAGAGCTTGCCTTACTTCGAGTGTCACCAGCCCTCATTTCAGTGGCACTTTGTCCAGTTTCCAAATTTCTCTTCACCACCCTCTGAACTCGATCCTTCTTAACGCCTAAGATGGAAAGAAATGCGTTTTGGCATATCGGAATTGTGCTTCTCATGTCTTATCGTTGAATTCTAGCAAAATGTTTCATAGACAAACCTTTACGAAAACATTTTGCAATTTTTGCTATGTCCTTTAGGCGTTTTTGAGCGATCGGATGACGCAGAAAAAAGTTATCTTGATCAATCTTGTTTCTAGACGAATAAAAAGCCTGATGAAATTGTCTCACATCTTGCGTGCTTAAATTACTGCACTGGTAAGCTTTGGAATTATATTTTTCTCATTTCTTGGGTAGACTTGGTGGTTCTTTGGGAGCATACCTGAAGATAAATAAATATAAAAAACCGACTACTAAAAATTGAAGAACGGGAGGACAAGAATTGTCTGCGTATTTACCTTTGCCCAGTAATCGTTCATCTAGCAACACAGTCAAATGTGTTAGGGTGGGATGTCGTTGGTCCTCCTTTCCGCTCCGATAGTAGTTGAAGAATTTCTCGGGATGTTTTCTTAAATCTTGATACTTTTTGTGAAAGAGACTTTCCTTAAATCTTCGGCTAGTCGGTTTTTAACCGTAGTGTATGCGTCTCGGGGGGCTTTGCGGTTTGGAGGCTTACCGCCTGCGGAAAAAAACCGTAGTGCGGTGTAGGCCTTAGGCTGGATCTGGAACGTTACTTCAAGTGGATAAGACGGGATTTGGAAATAAACATGATTATTAAAGTCGATTTTAAAAGGAATAGACAAGATTTAGAGCTACATTAGATATATATTTTTATGTGGGTTGAGATAATATCATTTTAAAAACCTTGAAGTGTCAGCCACAATGCAAATAAGAATCAAACCAGTCAGAAATTCAGTTCCTTTTCCATGTCAAATACTCGTATTAGAAAATATTGGTCAGCGCCACAATATTTTGACATAATTTCTCTCCAACTAGCCACATCAAGTCCAATAACTACACACTGAAAACCAAATTTGTCTGATGGCTTGTGTTCAATGTGTACAAGAGAGAAGTGTGTATAGACACATCTGTTAGAAAGAGATAGAAGCCGACTGGATAGCGAAGCTCATCACCGCGTTGCCTAGCAATGTTGCCAATATGTTACACCAATTCCCTGAATCAGGGTTTATGTTGAAAATATGCGTTATTTTATTCTCTACGCCCAAATAATACTTTTATTTTCAGCATATATATTTTTGAATTGTGTGAGGATCGCCACAAATTCTACAAGATTGCATCATTGGTTCGCTTGGGAGCACTGCATCTCGTACATTCCACGATCATAGTTGATCGATTTTGGTCAGTACCCATCCAGCGATCATTGGAGTGTGCCGTCATACTTTGAAATGGTTTTTACCCGCGCAACGCAGACAATGATAATTTGTATTGCTAAATGGTATTTGTCACATTTCCCGACCGCTCGATGTCGCAAAATGTAACAATAACTCATGATGGTTTGATTTTATCACCATTGGTGGAAATGAAAGATAATTCTAAGATAAATTAAGTGGCATCACGATTGAAACAAATAATTCTACGCAAAATAAAGACAAAATCAAAACTTGGAACGGACCTTCTTCTTGGATTTGACAGTAACCTAACATATTTTGGAGGCCTGTGAGAACATTTTCAGGTGGAACATATTGGCAACGCGGCAGATTGCACGACCTTCTGCGTCACCGTTGCTAGGCATTGTGGTGATGATATTCGCTCTTTAGCCGGCTTTTATCTCTTTCTAATATGTGTTGATACACAATTCTCGCACTTCTCTCTCATACAGATTGAAATCGAGCCGTGAGACAAATTTGGTTTTCCCTGTATTTGGAAAAGAGCTATTCATTTCAGGTAAAGACGTTTTGCGAAATTTCAACATTTTTGTCGAGAACTATATAGGAGACAAAATGAAAAAACAAAGTCAAGTGTATCGGTTGACTCGGTACTTCTCACACATTAGTATTTATATTACTCTCTTCCCAAATTTATGGACCTGGAGGTTATTTTGAAGAACTTTGAAGACTCAAATGAGTCGTCCGCATACAGAACCTGTTTGGTCCACGATATAATTATTAAAATTATTAATAAATAATTGAATGCTGGACAGTCACATATCACACCTGCCCACAATGCTAAAATATAGTCCGAGCGTGTACCCCAACTTCGTTGATGGTGCGTGTAGCTGGAGAGCGCGCGTCGTCAGCTCCCGTTATACTGGTGCTAGGTGTACCGGGAATGTGCTGGTGCGGGTGGCGCTTAAAACCCTCTCTGTTGACAAATATCAGACAAAGTCATTGTATTGTAGGTATACTGTGTCAAAGAGCTAACTTTGACAATATTCTTTTGTCTCCCTTGACTAGTACAACCATCTAACAAAACAAACACCGTGGTACAACAATAAAGCAAGCGAATCTGTAGCTATAGCATCATTAAATTCACGGTTATTATACTGTCGAAAACAAACACAAACAGTATGCATGAGCTTTGAGTAGCATGAATTATAAAACGGCCTGAAGCATAGATTTATTTTGGCGGCTGGTGAACGACGATAATAAACACAAGGTGCTGAAAATCCTTTGAAGTTCCATTGTTTTCCTCGACTCACGTTATACAAGCTATTACATAAAAACAGCAGCTGATACCGAAAGAAATATTCCATTGAAACCTTATAAAGGGCAATCAAGATTATGCGCGTTGAAATATACGAGTCTCGTCGAATTCTTTCATCCAGGAGTTTTGCCCTATTTTAGACTATCATCATTTCTGGTCAAAAGCTTACAATGTTACCAGTCATGTTTATACAGACTTGTGTGAGGCATTTGCGGCCATTGTTCTAACGAGAATCCCGGAAAACGTCGCTTCTGCAGATAGGATAACTATACGTATAATATGTGCAAATACTAGAACCTTCTCATCAGTAATTTCATGCATTCTATACAAGCAAAAATAAATTTAGTTTTTTTTTATAACAGCCTATTTCTCCATGGATGGTCCAATGCAAAACAATTATGTTCACTGCAGTTGGTGTAAGGAGGGGACCTTTGGCTGTAAAATTGAAGACACAAGAGGTGAGCTAGATACTAAAATAGGATATCCTAGGAAGCAGAAAACTAATTATATTTTATCAGTGTTAGGAGTCTCGACGAGTAAGGGTGATACATGAGTTATTTTATTATAAACGGTCAATGTTTACTATAATTAGATCAATGTATCAATAACAGGTGCATCATAAATTAATGAGTATCGTTAACAACTCATTAGCAAATTGCTCTGACATACATAAACGACCAGTACCTATAAGTTTTCTTGGAAATTGTTCGATTTGAACAAGTTATTGCTTCTCAAATAAATTGGTGATTCACTAATTTCTTGCTAACGTACATGAATTCCATAATGATTTCATATGCAGAGTATCCAGAAATTGAAAGGTAATCCTGCAACTGCAAATAGATCACGTCATCACCTACCAGATGGTAAAACTTCATTTTAATAATGGTCTTACGTTTTTCGAGATTTGCGACATTCAATTTTTTGGTCAAAACTTTTCTTTCTACAAATATTACTCTTTTTTACAGCGTTTGTTCTTCATTTTCATTTTAGTACTTGATTGTTTTACTTCCTACGACACTGAGCGAGGCTGTATTGTAATCCCAAAATATTTCGAACACTTTTTTGTATGTTATATGACTGTATCTCACGACCAACCATGTCACCCATTTCCGTCGCTCTGTCTGTCTGTCCGCTAATCTTTGGTCTCGCAAGTTAGAACTTGGGAAGCATCTGTCAGATTTTGATCAAATTTTCACACAGGGTTCCTACTATGCCACGGAGAAAGAGGATTGTGGTTTTTCTAAATCGTTCCAGTGGGGGAGAAAAGTGCCAAAAACGAAATAAATAAAAGTCGCTCCAACCTCGTTTCTTGGCGTTTTAGCAGCTCCTGATCGTTTTCATAAAATTTTTTGTAGAGGTTGAAATTAGGGGTTGGGGGCTGTAGGTGATTGGGGAGGGTATATGTAAATTTATTAATCCTAGTATATTCATACGCTCCCAACTCTGGTAATACTATGCACCTATTAGCCATATTTCACACATCATAGACTTCCCCGTACAGTTGCCTTGCATTCATACATGCATATATCGTTTTGATTGTCCACAAAAACATGAGGGAATATTTAAAGTTTTATTTCCTCCATTTTTTAATGTAGTAAACTACGAGAAATTTTATATCTACTTAATTTTTATTTTGCAGATATAACTAACGGCGTTCAAAGAATTATTATGAATCCAAAATTTCTCATGTGACGGGGAGGTTCAAGGAATCCAGTACGTATTAAAATGTTTACATCAGTGCGTTGAAAGAACTGCACGAACCGATCTAACATCATTTTACTACCCACGCTTATAGGTAAGGAAGTATTTTAATCACGAATGTGTCCCCTAATTGTGTACGTCTCTCTGGTAATCAATGGCCCGCTATAACATTTAAAGTAATTATTACGATAAGGGTATGTGTTTACAAGACGTCAAGTTCGGTAGTGTTATGAATGAAAAACCAAAAATGTTCCAGCGTCAAGTAAACCCTCATGTCTGTGGTAGATGAGTTTCTTAGTTTTTTAAGAACTTTAAAAAGTGACAAATGGGGTCGTTTTCTAGCTTTCTGGTCAAGGTAGAACACAATGCAACATTAAAAGGCTTAACAACTTGTCTGATCACTTAAACTGAAACCACTAACAAGGTACAGAATTAATAACGAAAATGTTTTACTTGACTATCATTATTTCTGACGCTGGCTCTGTAACCAAATGTCTTTGAATTATGAAATCGCTATTAGTATACCCAAAAGGGTAAATCAACCAGTCGACATGCTAGCTAATCATCAGCAGTGGGCTGCTTAGACTTTTATTTTGTTGACCACGTGCTGGGAAAAATTATTGCTTGAATTCAACGGCCCTTGCTTCTGACGGCAACGGTGATATCAGAAATCCTCCGTACGCCTCCGTACCATAATTGTCTCGGTAAAGGATTTGACATGTGCAGGGCGCCAGTCTAGGTGAATTAGCGACGTAGTGCCAATTAGCACAAATTTCAATTTAGATAACCTACTTTCGCATACTTACTATTTAATCGTCTTAATACGTAGTATTTCCTCATTTACCAATATGCTGAAGACACACGTCCACTTGATCCTCCTGCTTCTAGCACGCTCAGTGAAGACCGATGAGTACGTTAAAGAGGCGCTTGTGAAGTGCAACTCCACGAAAAGTTCCTTGGAGTGCACAAAATATAACGTGTTGAAGTTTATCCGACAGCTGAACTTGAATTTGTTGACTGATATAGTGAGTGAATCACAATCTCGAAGAAAGGAGGTGGAGGTCAGTTTTCCGAAGCATCAGCCTGATGACCCGGAGTTGTTGAAGTTCGTGAAGTTTGTGGTCAGAAAGGTCGTATCCACGGTATCATCGTATGCCCTGGAACTTGGACTGTTTGAAGATGAGGAAAGTAAGAATGCAGATTTGGAGACAGAGAACAACAGTACTGCTGTGTCAATAAGTAAGTAAAGCGGTGTATGTTCAAATCATTAGTATATTCACTTAATGCAAACCTAGGTTGTAAATATAATTTTGAACATGTGAATTTGTGAGTATGTGTGAATATTGATCTCAAGCTCTTTTGTCGTTTATACTCAATGATGAAAGCTCAACGCCTTAAAGATGGATCGTACGAAGTTGTATGCAATTTTTTATGGTGATGACTGAGTACAAGACTTGAAACGTACAAACCTACTACTGGAAGACAAAAAATATCCTATGTGGTTACAATGACCTTAGTCGACCTTGTACTCAGGCAAAGAGTAACTGCCAATTGCTTTTATATACCTAGCAGATATGTACTAACGGACTTTGCTGCTAACATTTTTTACTAGAGTTCAGAATAGAAAAGACACAAAAGCTATGAGACGTTGCTATATGCAGTCTACAGAACAGTTGTAGGAAAGCCTTCCAAATGATGTTCTTTCTATTCATCGTTGTCTGTCAGAGCGGTCCGTAGGACCATTTCTCTTGGTTAAAGTAAAGCCTAGCCTGTCGGATTTGGTTGCTAGATACCAGTCAGAGAGGAAAGAGGGAAGAAGAAAGGGGGTAAAGGGAAAAGAAAGAACTGTGACAATCGGAGGGGTGCCTTGCCATGGTTAACTAGTAGGGTAGGGCGGGGCTAGTTGAGCAATTTTTTACTTGATCAGCCGTACCTCTTGAACGACGAGTCAGAATGGTTTGACATATATTTGGATGGATAAGTAATTTATTCCTTCCTAAAAGTCTTTCAATTCATTTATCTGTCACAAACCTAGTTTAAGAGCTACAGCGGTGTGAGTGGAAAATGTCACATATGCTCAATTTACGCCATAGGTGAGGTAAGTTGAGCAAAGGTATGGGGCATATTGAGGATTGAGGTAAATAAGTCATGTGTTGAGGAGAATATTTCCTAGACATGGAATACAACCGCTATTTTACAATAAACTTTGTATGTTACGTGAATAAACTTGTTATTATTATTATTATTATTTATAATCTGCTAATGATATAAGAGTACAGCAGAATCTTTACTTTCTTCAAATATTAAACATAAAAATATAATCAATATAATCATAACAATTCTTGAACCTAATATTTGGAGAAAACTCAGTCTTTCTACATTAAATCGTTCAGTTATCAGATGACTATTGATGGGGTTTTGATATAAAAAGTACAGTATTGTGATATAGGTAGCAAATTAATAATCGACGCCGTCACAATCAATGCAACCGTAACTGACTTCTATTTTGCACACATTCTGTATGTGCCCATCCCTTATAAACTTGACACTGGGTTCATGTTTCACCTGGTAAACTATCTGAATAAGCTTCGCAACAAATCAGACAGGCTGGTATATTAATATTCATTGGTTTCCTCACTACTTGACTCTAGAACTTCTTTACAAACACCCTTCATCTTTTTTTATCAATCTTTTGTTTCTGTGTTACCTTTCTTAGTTTTCTTATTCTGTTCTCCTTGTAACATGTTTTTTTCTGGAGTATCTGTTCGGATAGCTGCTTTCCTTTTTCTTCTGGCTGCTGTACTCATTTTTCTTGAACCTGCTTTTGGGTATGGCCGGACAATTTCAGGAGAAAATTTTTGAGATGTATCGAACTGAACGTTATCTCTGACTCTTGTACCAGCTTCGTCTTCACGATAGCTGGTGAAAGCTATAGCACTATCAGGTTCTGTATTGCGGGCTAGTTGAGCAACCATAACCCAACTAGCCGCAACCCAATATTTAAAACAAATGCAAGGTTATGTAAAAACTCGTTTGAATAAGAAACATATCCTTTCAATATATCATAAATATTTAGATAAATGAAAGAAAAAGAAAGCAGTTACTATATTTTTTACTTTTACTTCGCGAAACAAACAAAACGTGGTCATACCTCACTCGATCGACAGATCGTCACTGGTGGTCGTGCGGTGTGTTCTTCACTCCTGACACCTTCTTCCTGCTATTTAATGAGTTGGCATCAGGTGCATAGTATTTGAGTTATTTCAATTGCCCAATTTACCCCTATGCTCAACTAGCCCCGCTCTACCCTACTCATTCGGATATTTTAAATTGATCTTAAAATTAATTTATAGATTAGTTGTTGAAGAAAAATTATAATTTTGGTTTGATCTAAAGACGCACGATTTAATTTTGTTCGCTGTAGTAGCCGCGGACTTATGTGCTTGCGAATTTGCTCGACTGTGTAGTCTACAACAAAGGGTTGCTATGCGGTTCTGCTTGCCTATAAGGTACCTGCGCTTGTTGTCCAAAGTGGTCCCTTAGATATAATAATATATGATCTCATTTTGGGGTGTTTTCTATCCTCTACAATACCTTTCTTAACCACGTTTTTTTGATATACGAGAAATGGTAATCTCTTCAGATATGATGTTCAATAAAAGAGGTAATCAGAAAAATGGTTTGTATGGTTCTATGTTACAGTTTTTACGAAATTTTAGATATACTGTTATATAGGCAGTCCATCCATGTGTTGTCTTTTATAATGGAACCTTTGCACGCCACTGTTAAGTCTGAAGTATACTAGCAACTAGCGCCTGAACGTTCTATCACGTATAATTCTCCTGCCGAATTTGCATGTATTGACACCTGATGCATGCTCAGATACATGCTGCATAATCAAGAACTGTTTTAATCTTCGATTTGTGGGATTTAACACGGCAGAACCAAGAAATATATCTATATTTTGTGGAAGAAAGTGACTACTCCATATGCTGCGTAAGTTGTCTATAGAAGTTTTAGAATGAAAGCAGCTTTTGAATTTTAAAGTCTCGTGACTTGAAGTTTACAACTTCGGTTAGTACTTTCTTTAATCAATGACACTTATATACCACCTGTATATTGATTAATAGAGGCATTGCTTCATATTGGATTACTTGTAACGACTAAAGCCTTAACCCTGCGTCAGGCGCGCAAACCAAAATTACATGAGCGGTCGCATCGCGGCACTGAGTGCTGCATCTGGACAATGACTTATTTTGTATTATTATAGAGAAAACATTGACTAATAAGTTTGTAATTAAACAGAATAGACATTTAAAAAATCAGTTTATTTATAATATTGCGCTCTTATTTATTTAAACATTCAAAACTAAAACATTATTCTATAGCGAACATAAAAGATAAACACCGAATTTTTAAAGTGAAAATGGTAACGTAGCCACCAAGAGACTTAATTCTAAAATAAATCAGTCTTCCTCCATCGAGGTATACAAACAAGTATCACATTGAACTGTTTTTTTGCAATGGCTTTTACATACAAACTGATAACATGAGTCACATCTAACAGTAGTTTTATTATTTTTATGCGCACTACAAACATGACAACGTCCACTACCATTTTGCTTTATTGCAGGTACCTCATCAACAGTAGTTTGGTATCGCGAAAGAAATTCTCTAATGTCTTTTGGAAGTGTTCCATTAGAGACACGCCTAATTCGTTTAAGAATGTTCGTCTTCTAGGAGACTCTTCTGTAGGTTTAGTATTATTGAATCCAATTTCAGCGTTTATCCCAGTAATATCAAGAATGCGAAAAAATATTGCAAGGGGCCATCGTCTAGTGGTTCTCTGGGTTGTATAAGAGGCACATTTTTGATCGACAGTATCGACACCACTCTTCGTCCTGTTATAAGCCAAAATGATGGTTGGCTTATTTGTCGCCTCGTCAACCTCTCCTTTGTCATCAGCAGAAGAAAGAATTATCAGAGCCTTATTCTTTTTGGGTACGTAAGATACCAGATTAATTTCGTCCTGAAATCCAAATAATGAAGAACCAACTATTCGTGCTTTATTCGGAAGGAATTCCGGGGGTATTACCTTTTTATTTTTCTATATTGTACCTATTAACGTAAGGCCATTTTGCAAAAGATAATCTGCTAGGGGATAGCTCCTATAATAATTATCTGTTGTCAGGTTTCTCTTGGAATTTTTTAAAGGGTCTACCAACCTTCGAACTATATCGAATGGCTTATTACTTGTCTGAAAGGGACCATCTCGTTGTTGCCCACAATAAATCTCAAGATTCCAAGTATAATAGGAGCGACTATCACACAAAGCATATATTTGTATACCGTATTTTGCCGGCTTTCGCGGCATATATTGCACGAACCCACATCGCCCCGGAAACGGATGAAGCATTTCAACAATGGTAATGAATTCCCCAGGGATGTAATTATTCATACAATTCTTTACAAAATCGGAGTAAATATCCCGTATTGCAGCTAATTTATCTATATTTTGGCGTCCTTTCCTGGTGTTGATATTGTCAAATTGTAAATCACGTAAAAGGAATAAAAATCTTCTGTAACTAAAAGCAGCCCGAAGTCTAATCATTCCAGTTCCATCTGTACTCCACAATTCTCGCACATCTACACGATTTCCTTTCTTTACTGCAATTATATATAACGCGCCGAATAATGCCTGGATCTCCGTGGACGAAGTTATTTTGCAATCTCTATCTCTTGCAAAATTTTGTTTTTTATTTTCTATATATAAATTTGTGCATGTTACGATATTGTCAATCATCTCATTGGAAATAAATATATAAAATGACTCTAAATGATTTGACACAGTTTTCGCAGCTCCTTTTGAACCTGGTAATATCTTGATTATATTTTTAGACCTAGTTTTACTGGTAAAACTCACAGTGCTTTTCCAAACATTCTCTTCGTCCTTTCCAATGTAAAAGAACTCATCTCCTTGATTCTCCAATTCGTGTATACAGTCCGAGTCCTCAACGGCAGATTGCTCAGATTCGCTGTCGTAAACATTGTACTGAATAACTTCTTCTTCTGCTTCGCTTTCATCTGCAAAGTCTACTATATCCGCATCGAAATCAGATAAATTGTCGACGATCTCTTGCAGCTCTCGTTCAGTGAGTGGTCTCTTTTTATCCCTAAAATATCAATATTATTCCACAATCCCAGGTTGACAAAACACACCAATTCGGAAAAAAATAACA